TAAAATGCAACTTAGTGTAAAATTTTACGAGTCTAGAAGATTCGTACAAAGCCTAATAAAGTTAAAGCATGACTGCCAAATTTATAAAAAAAAATAATAAAATAAAAAAAATAAAAAAATCAAATATAGAATATGTACTAGTGTAAAGAAAGAAAAAAAACAAATTAATTGAACTCTTTCCGATGATCCTTTTTACCACAAAAAAATTCAAAATTCTAAAAAAATACAAGCGTCTGTAAAGGTTGAAACAGACTGGGAAGTAATCCTTAAGCTCTGTAACTTGGCAGTTGTTATTTAGAGGTAGTTCTTATATGCTACCTGCTAACTTCCTTAGAGTTTATTACTCATCGTGGGAGCCAGGCACTTGTCGTTTAGAAATAGTTCTTATACACTATTTGCTGACAAGCTTAGAGTTTATCACTTACCTGAAAAAATAAGGAAAGTACTGGCGCCTTTTTATGGATTCAATTAGAGATGGGCACCATGTGTATAAATGCATACATGCATGCACCATGCATGTGCATTGTTTGATGGTCTATATGTCAAAATGCCCATAGAAAAAAAAAGAAGAAAACCTATTTGCGCAAATAACAAAGCATGATTCATAATTAAGAAGGGCACCATGCGCATGGTTTGATATAATTTATATATCAAAATGCCCATATATAAAAAAAAAAAACTTTATTTGCGCAAGTAATATCAACGTAATTAAAGATGGGCACGATGTGCATGTTTTGATAACTTATATATCAAAATGCCTATATAAAAAAAAACTTTATTTATGCAAATAATAAAGCGTAATCTGTAATTAAAGATGGGCACCATGCGCATAGTTATCTATATATATCGAATACCCATATAAAAAAAACTTTATTTATGCAAGTAATACATTCTTTAAAAAAAATTTATTTGCAATCCCTAAAAAAAAACTTATTTGAGCAAATAATATAATCCTTAAAATAAAGTATGAAATTTCACTTCGCTTAACTCCTTTTTGAAATTTGTATTACTCACAAATAAGTAAACTCAGTACAATTTAGTACAGTTTCTCACGTTAATATATCATGTAAATATTTGTCTCCATACAAATAAAGTTATTTTAACTTCGATTTTTTTTAATAATATTTTTTAGTTTAATAGATTTAAATCTAATAAAATTGTTTTTGTACGAAGCTCAGGTTACTACACTAGTAGTCAATTAACTTTTTTTTTAATAAGTTCTAAATCAATAAGTTAGTATTAGTGTGTAATTGCTTTTTTTTTAGAAAAAAATGCCCAATCCAATTTGGAGTCACTTTATTCAACTAGGACGTGTAGCTGGATTTAAACAGAAAAGAAGAGAGTGCAAATATTGTCAGCAACAATTTAATGATACTCTTAGAGCTGCATGTACACATTTTCGAAACTGTAAATTTATCTTGCCAGAACAAAAAAAAATTATTTTGGCGATTCATATGAAGATGAAAATAATAGTGATAGTAACATATCACTAAATACATTTGAAATATCTACTCCGGTCACATCAAATTTTGCGTTACCTTTATCTAGTACTTTAGTTACGTCCAATAGAACATCTAAAAGTTACAAAAATCGAATTACAAATTATATTACACCTGATC